AGCAGGAATTGCAGCTGGCACTTTCCTAGGTGGACGGACAGACCAGCCTTGGCAACCGGGGAAGGCTTCGGTGCCTGTCAGCTGGCCTGATGGAAGTTATAAACCCCTACCAATCCATCGGGGTGGCTGCAGTTCCTGGCAGCCCTTTGCTCTTCCGTTTGCAAAGCTTGTATCCTGTGTCCCATGTCCCCCATTAACTCCCCTCGGGATAGAAATACCTTGAAAGAGTTAAAGAATAAAAATAAGCATCTGTGGTGAATAAGCTGATCTGTATGATTCACAGAAGTGGAAACTCAACAGCAGTTAAACCTTCGAATCTTAATCTGTTTTGGCTATAAGCTATCATATGTAAACAGGCATATGTTAACAGTTCACAGGGTAATTCATGTCTCATTGTTTGACGTCAGGCATTTTGCAACAATATTTAAGGAAAGAAACTCAGAGGTGAGGTGGCTCTTTTCTTTTCCATAAGGGGTGCTTTACAAAAGCAGCAAACTTCAGTGTAGCTGATAAGGGTCTGCCACCGAAACCTGGGGAGAATCTGCCTCTGCCAGAGAGCAGAAGTTCCACAGAGTATTTTGAGTGATTAAAGAAACGTCTAATGAAACATTAAAGTAAAGGCAAGAGAGATCTATATGCAACAGCTTTCAGTGGTAGCCCAAGGCACGAGCCATTAACACAGCTCTCTCACTTGAGTGGGTTCTCCCCGTGAAGCAGAATTCTCCATTTTACAACTAGAGACTCTGAAGTTTTCAAATCAGTGGAGCCATGATGTGTAAAGATAAAAGCTAATCAGGCAGGCATCTCATGGAAAATTTAGCACACTTGTGCTAAAAGGAGCGCACATTCCTCTGAATCAAGGGCATATTCATCATTACTGCTCCGGAGCTGTGATCTTATTCATTCTAGAAGAATCAAAAAGACTGTGCTAAGTCAGTGCTCCCTTGAGAAATACCCGCAGCAAAAGCAGGGGCTGCAGGAAGTGATACCGATGACTCAACAGCCAAGGCCAACACACTGCCTTATTTTAGACAATGTCCTCTTGGACACACTCATGTTTCCTCATGAGTGGCTGATGACAAAGGTCTTGCCTACCTGTGGTCACAAGTACCTCGTGACGTTTTTCTCAAGAACAGGTCTAGTACCGGGGCCAAAACTAGCTTAGAATTAACTGTGCAACTTGATTAACTTCCACTGCCGTTTCAAGTGAATGTTAAGCTCCACCTTCCCTAAAAATCTCCATGTATGGATCCTGAGGTACTGTGTTGTCCATTAACTGAACGTTTTCATAATGGATGGTGCTCTGTTATCCAGCAAAGAAGACGCATGTAGTAAAGGGGCTTCCTGGCGTGGAAAATGTTAGAATATCCCAAGCACAGGTCTTCCTTTCTCTTGCCAAAGCCTTAAGCTGATGGCTCCTCACTACAAGCACAGACTAGTACTGACTGCAAATTCCAAGTCTTCCATAAATAATGATTTCTTTTCTGGTCATAAAGCACTTACTGTTAATACATACTATTTCAAACACACGACGTGGTCACAGCAATGCTGAGAGGAGAATCCTACGTGTAGGTGCCAGCGGATTCTAGGCTGCCAGCCAGTAACTATAAGAAGTAAAAACATTCGATTGATTGTTAAGCAAGTAAAATTCTGGGATGCGTGTACATCGTACGGCAGATACCCATGTATGTGCTTCGCCTCTTGATGCGTGAGTAGTCCCGGCGACTTCACAGGACTGCGGCCGCGAACAGAAAACACGGTGCGTCTCATCACTTCAAACCGCTGCAGAAAACGCTGCGGTGGGCTGAGCGGAGCGCCTGCCTCACCCGCCTGTTCTCATGTTAGTCCAGACCCGAAGACAGCGCTTGAACATACGCACAGGAATTGAATTGCATGGGAAGCTTACCAAAGGAAGTGTTTGCTTGTAAACCCAGTATGAATAGGATCTTCTCTGACCGCAAGGGAAATGCAGAGACACTCATTCACTGTCTGCTTGTGCAATCGACTTCTGAAGTAAAAACAGGATTTGAGGCTTAAAACCTGAACCTTCACACGTCTTTCAAGCGACAGAAGAAGCCTTCATGCTCTTCCGTCCGCAAAGGAACAAAGTCAGGAGGTGCTGCTCATGAGACTCCTCGGATTTGATAACAACTGGCTTATCAGAAGGGAATTATTTAGAGTTCCTAGCAGCGGCAACCCTCAGAGCAGCTTCTGTGCGGGTT